CGGGCATTGTGGTGGGCACCTGTAGTCCCAGCTACTCTGGAGGCTGAGGCAAGAGAATTGCCTAAGCCCAGGAGTTGGAGGTTGCTGTGAGCTGTGACTCCATGGCACTCTACCGAGGGTCATAAAGTGAGACTATCTCTGAAAAAAAAAATGAACTGGGTGTGGTGGCTCATGCCTGTAATCATAGCACTTTGGGAGCCTGAGGTAGAGGATCACTTGAAACCAGGAGTCTCACATCAGCCTGGGTTATATAGCAACACCCCACCCTGTCTCTAAAAAGAAAAAAGAAAAAAATTTGTGACAAATGCACACACACACACTCATAACATTTGAGACAGTCTCACTCTGTTGCCCAGGCTAGGGTGCTGCGGTGTCATCCTAGCTTACAGCAACTTCAAACTCTTGGGCTCAAGATATCCTCCTGCCTCAGCCTCCTGAGTAGCTGGGACTATATTCACCTGCCACCACAGCCCTGCTGATCTATTTCTATTTTTAGTAGGGGGAGGGTCTTGCTTTTGCTTAGGTTGGCCTTGAACTCCTGAACTCAAGTGATCCTCCTGCTTGGGCTCCCAGAGTGCTAAGAATACTGGTGTGAGCCACTGTGTCTGACCTAAAAAAAATAGTAAATTTAAAAGAATGGTTAAAATGGTAAATTTTATGACATGTATATGATAAAAGAACTTATAATAATTTCCTTGTATCCAGTTTGTGGCGATTTGTAATGGCAGCCCTAGGAAATCAATACACTCATATAATCAGAAAAAAATACCAGCTTCGTGCCCATATAGGGCACCAACTGGTGGGTTCGAGCCTGGCCCAGGCCTGCTAAACAATAAGAACTGCAACTAAAAAAACAGCCATGTGTTGTGGTAGGCGCCTGTAGTCCCAGCTACTTGGGAGGCTGAAGCAAGAGAATTGCTTAAGCCAGTGGTTTTCAACCTGTGGGTCGTGACCCACAGAAACTGTATTAAAGGGCCGGGGCATTAGGAAGGTTGAGAACTACTGGCTTAAGCCCAAGAGTTTGAGGTTGCTATGAGCTGTGATGTCACAGCACTCTAAGACATAGATACTGTCTTAAAAAAAAAGAAAAAAATACAGAATAAAATTAGAAGGGGTCATATAGACTTCATCCTCCCCTTCTCTTAGTGGTGAAAACTGAGGCTGAAAGAATCATTTCCTGGCTCTTAGACCTGTTTGTGATGAGAAACTGTCCCATATCCCTTCCCTGGGGGCAGGTTGGGGGAGGTCTCATGTCCACCCACCCCTTTTCAGTAAAAAACACAGTAAAGGAGCTTAGAAAATTTATTCCTTTTGTTATCTTCCTTTGAAATAACACAAACAGGCAGGGAGGTGGGGCACGGTAGAGGTGGAAGCCATGGGGAGTCCTTCAGCCCCACAACATCCCAGGCTCTCTTTCCCTTAGTGGGGCCCCCCAATTATTCTAAGCTCAGAATCCAATGATAAAGTGCAGAATGTATGGGGGTGAGGGACGGTGAGCTTGGGCTGGAGGGGGAGGGAGGCTCTGCTCCTCTCTCTGCTAGAAAAATAGATCTGGAATGAGTTTGGGGACTTGACTTGTTTTTGCATAATTGGATGCTTGGGTTTAGTGAAAGGTGGGCTATGTAGATTTACTCCTGGCTTCTAATGTGTGAAGCCCCCAAGAGTGACTGGACCTTCCAGACTTGGGATTTTGGGGTTATTAGTCTATAAAAGGGGAAGGCGGTGGAAGACACATCGGGTGGGGGGGTGGGAACAGGTTCCCCACAGGGCCCAGATATAGGGGAGGCAGCATCCAGCACCCATACAGGTTGTGGGAAGTGTAGGAGAGGCACCCCTCTCTCCCTGTTGCCTGGCGATGAGCCTTATCAGGACTTGGGACAAATCCTGTAAGTGTTCTGGAGCTGGGGGTGGAGGGGACAGGTGGGTTCTGGGCTTCCTTTGAGGTTACTCGACCAGGCGATCTCCCATCATGGGGGTGAGCCGTACGTGTCTGGAATGAGGGTACATGGTACCCAGGATGCTATGACTGGGATATTGGGATATAGACTTGGGGTCTGAGCATTGGGAACCCAGTGCCTGGTGTGTTCAGATCAGAAACCAGGAATTGAGGTCTTGAAGCCCCATGCCTGGTAGCACCAGGGTCTGCCATCTGCATGTGAGGTTCCAGCATCCGGTGCAATGGGGTGAGGGAATCTGGGATCTAGATCAGAATCCAGCAGCTGCAGTTGCCAGGATGCACTTGCTGTGCTGCTGGGATCCCTCATTTGTTTTAGGAGCCAGAATCTGGAATGCTGGGATGTGGGAACCTGGGATCCAGTGGTTGGGACTGATGGTGTAGTGCTCCAAGTGTAGGGATCCAGCACGCAGTGTTGAGGCAAAAAATAATTCAGGAATCCAATGGTTGGGGAGAGGGGATCTTGGATCCAGTGATGGGGCACCAGGATCTAGCACTGTCAGGATCCAGTGGCTGAGGTTTCTTGACATCCAGAATCCAGTGGCCGAGCTTGGAGATCAAGGACTCAAGGCATGGAGACCTGGGATTAGGGGATCTGGGGTCCAGTGCTGCATGAAGACATTGGACCTGGTGCCTGAGGGAGCTGGGATCTGAGTGTTGAGGTGGGTGGGGGTGACAGGTGCTCCTGTGGTTGGGATATTGGGATCCATTCACTGACCTAAGTGGGATCCAGTAGTTATGACCTGGGAGCCAACGACACAGTGGGTGGGACAGGGAAATGTGGGTTCATCTTTGGGATGTGGAGATGCAGGATCCAGTGATCTGGAGGGTAGGTTGAGGGGTAGGGTGTGAGTAACCTAGGATCTTGTGGTTAGGGTATTAGACTCAAGTAGCTGAAGTGTAGGATCCATAGTTGGGGTTATGGTGGGATAAAGTATGGGGGTCCAGTGGTTGGGCCATAAGCCAAGGTGTGGGGGACATCATGATTTGGTGAGATCGTGGGGCAGGGGCCAGGCTTCGGGTCCCTCACCTGGACGAGACCCCCAAGGCCTGCTTCATATTCTCGTAGACCACATAGGAGATGCTCACAGCAGGAATGACCTTCATGAAGTTGGGGGCAATGCCCCGGTAGAGGCCTCGCATGCCCTCCTGGGACAGGATGTGACGGAGCAGGCCCAGCATGGACGGCTGGGGGCCACCATCGATGGAGGCTGGGAGGGGGTGGGCGACTAGGTAAGGCTAAAGTTCCCCTCTCACTTCCCCTTGTTACCACTTCCTCTCCCAGGGCCAGGCCAGATGCCCAGTGCAGAGGAAAGGAAGAGGGTTGACTAACAGTAGGACCTCAGACTCAGGACTCCTATTGGTCTTGGAACTCGTTGCTCACCTTTTCACCCCAATCTTGAAGGCCCAAGTTCGAGGACTATTAGAAACGGAGCCAGAAATGTGTGCGTGTGAGAGTGTGTGTAGTAGAGAGGGTAGACAGGGCCTCTTCTTGGAATTCCATGCCCCCATTTCCAGCTAGCTCCTCTGTATCCTTCTAGCCTCTATTCCAAAGCCAGCTCTTCAGGGGACCCCTGTTTGGTATCCCAGTCTAAGCTGGTCTAAGTCTTCCTTTTCCCCTTCAATCAACCCTAAATCAATACTTAATTGTGGAATGATTTATTTAGCACCATTCTTCCTCTCCAGCCTGGGAGCTTATGACTGTGGGGACCATGTCTGTCTTGTGCACTGACACATCCCTACTGAAAATCACAAGAAAAACCTTGCAAACACTAAGATTCCCAAGGAAATTTTCAAACAGATTCAGGGACAGTGGGATGGAGGTGGTAGGGGAGAAGAACCCATAAAAGAAAAATACAGACAAAAACAATAACTGGTTGGGCCCTGACTTTCCTTACCCCTGTTCCTAGTCTCCCATTCTCTATAACCCAGACTTGCAAACTAGAGCTCGTCACCAGCCTGGAAATGCTAGACATTTGCCAACAGTGGCCATCCAGCTAAGACTGCCAGGACGCTCTCCCAGTGCTTCCTGCATCTGTCCTCCTGGTTAATCAGCAGCTCCATAAGGATGATGGATGCCTGCTCTAATAGGTAACTGAGACCAACACAGGCTGTCTAAACCCTGCAGGGTCTCAGCCCAGGGCTCTGCCTAGTAGGGGCTGGGGAAGAGGTGGTGGGACCCATGTGCTAAGACCTTACTTGTCCCATCCTCCCACCCAGGCCTCACCTTGGGCCTGCATGCGGGTCCGGACCAGTGCCAGGGGATAACTGGCTATCTGGCCGCAGGTGCTGGAGATGGTGCCACAGGCCAGGAGCACGAGGATGCCTGGGTCTGCCGAGTCGTGGCTGTATTGCTGGAGCCACCAATTCTTCAGAGTCTGGAGTGGAGAAGGGAGTAGGGTGGTTTGGGGGGTACCAGGACCCTGGCTTGACAGCTGGGGGATTACCCACAATGGATGCTAGGAGGTTCCAGGGGCAGGCAGGTAAGGCCAAAATGCCCCTCCCTTACCCCTCCTATCTCCCCAGGGCTGAGCCAGATGGCTACTGCACCAGGAGGGAAGAGGATTTGACTCATGAGGACCCTCCTGGTTGTCTCTGACCCTATGGCAGTTGGTGCTAGCCAAGCTCTTCATACCTCCCAGGGGCTGTGCAAGCTCTTTACCTGCATCCCCTCACTCAGTGCTCACCGTGACTTTCTGTAGAATAATGATCTCTGTACCATCTATCCCCTAGACTCCTGCATATATCAGCATATATCACCTGGCATGGCACAAAGGACTCTGCAGATGGGATTCAGTTAAGGACCTTGACATGGGGAGACTAACTGGGTAGCCCAAAGTCATCGTAGGCCCTTATAAGAGTCAGAAGAGTAGACAGTGAATGTAAAGACAGAAGCAGGGGGAACAGAGAGGAAGGTAGGAAAGGAGGAAAGGGAGTAGTCTGTGCTGCAGCCTTTGAGGACACAGGAAGGCACTATGAGCCAAGAACACAGGCAGCCCCCAGACATGCTTCCAAGGCAAAGAAATATTCTCCTCAGAAGGAACATGACCCTGCCAACATCTTCATTTTATAAAGCCCAGGGAGCGCATTTCACATTTTTTTTTTTTTTTTTTTTTTCAGAACTATGAGATAATACATTGTGGGTTTTTTTTTTTTTTAGACAGAGTCTTACTCAGTTGCCCTGGGTAGAGTGCTGTGGTGTCATAGCTCACAGCAACCTCAAACTCCTGGGATCAAGTGATCCTCTTGCCTCAGCCTCCTGAGTAGCAGGACTATAGGCACTTGCCACAATATCCCGCTAATTTTTCTACTTTTTAGAGATAGAGTCTTGCTCTTGCTCAGGCTGGTCTTGAACTCCTGAGTTTAAGTGATCCTTCTGCCAATGTGCTAGGATTACAGGTGAGAGCCACAGTGCCCAGATCACTGTATTGTTTTAAGCCAGCACATTCATGGTCATTTGTTACAGCATCTCTGGGAGACAAATATACTGTCCAAGCTAAGTGTCTAGGCAGACACTATGGGTGCTCCACCCTCATCTTTTACTTCAGATCTGTTGACTTCCAACTGTGCCTCTCCGGATCAAGGCCAGGCTGTGCTGACTACTTAGAACAGGTGAGAAGAGCTGGGGAATTGTAATCTCCAGAAGCAAGCTTCAAATGATTGAGTTGGTGTCTCAATACCTCAGCTCCCTCGCCCCTCTGGCAGGGAATGTCCTATGCTGCCTCCCACAGGCCCCCAGTGAGACTGAGCTCCACTTGCCAATAGCAGTAATTTGCTTAATATACTGGGGTACGAATGGGTTGAACCTTATCTCCTGCAAGAGATGTTGATGACCTAACCCCCAGTACCTTAAAATGTGACCTTCTTGGAAATATGATCTTCCTAGATATAATTTGTTAAAAGATAGGAAGGTGGGACCTTAGTCCAATACAACTGGTATCCTTATAATAAAAGGAAAAGAGACACAGAGACAGAGATATACACATGTAAAGACAGCCAGGTGATAACAGGCAGAGAGGAGAGTGATGCTCTACAAGCCTAAAGAATGCCAAGGATTGTCGTGTGAACACCAGGAGCCAGGAGGCAAAGAAGAATCCTCCCCTGCAGGTTTCAGGAGGGTGGCTCTGCTGATACCTTGAGTTTGGACTTCTGGACTCCAGAGATGAGATGATGCATTCCTGTTGTTTTAAGCCAATCAGTTACAGCAGCCCCAGGAAATGAATACACACGCCCTTTACCAGCTGCCTGCCTTATCTCACTCACTACCTTCCAAATAAACCACTAGCCCTCACAAGCGTATCTCAGATCTGTTTTTGGAAGATCTTTCAAACTAAGACAAGTACTTTTATTATCTCCATTTTATAGATAAGAAACTGAGGGTGGTGGTGGTGGAGTAAGTTATTTGCCCAAAACCACAAAATGAAGGTGAGAATCAATATTCAAAGCCACATCTGAATCTAGAACTGTGCACAGGCCAGAGTGGCCATACCATCAGCCTTGCTCAAGCAACTTTAAACTCTTGGGTTCAAAGGATCCTCCTGCCTTAGCTTCCTGAGTAGCTGGGAGTACAGGCTTGAACCACCATGCCCAGCCTACACTTACAGTCTTTAGGGTGGCTAATCCTTCTGAAGTCTTCTGCCTTTTGTAAGAATAAGAATTCTATTTTTATGCCTTGTGGCTGGGATGACTTACAGCTTTTATTTCCTACATCAGTTCTAATCTACTGGTAATAGCTGCCTGGAACTGGGAACTACATTGAGAATTCAGTGCTGTGATGGATCAGTAATGCCTAGCCTAAGTATAGACTGGGTTAAAAAAAGGTAATTGTTCACCTTTATAACCTTTGTAATTTTAGTAGCCTTCTTCTCATGGCTAAAATCCCCCTCCTGTCCACTGTTACTTTCCATTACAAATCCCATTTCATTATCTTCTGGAAACTTATCCAGAGTGGAAACTATCTTTTTTTTTTTTTTTTTTTTGAGACAGAGTTTCACTATGTAACCCTTGATAGAGTGTTGTGGCATCACAGCTCACAGCAACCTCGAACTCTTGGGCTTAAGTGATTCTCTTGCCTCAGCCTCCCAAGTAGCTGGGACTACAGG